AGGGGGTTGTGGGAGTGATATCCACCAACTCAGTATGCATATGTGTTATGGTTATTATAGAATGGGGGAGGGTTGGAGAAGTTGAGAGGGGGTATACAGCAGGAGTAGGCATCTGGGACACTTGTCTGTCATTAGTTTTATTACTTATTGGAAGTGTTGCATCGTCAGTAATGAATGACCTGCGTGTTTATGATAAATCACCACTCGACGGCCACTGATTTAACAGTAATACCGAGACAGGGTAGTGACTAGAATGAGAGCGATGTTGCACACGCGACAAGTTTCTGGATGCAGACAAGAAGTCCTCGGTATAAGATTGTGGACTAGTTTAGTAGTGCGACTTTTTATTAGTGCATCTCGTTGCGCCTTGCCTGTTATGCGAAGGTTGTCAAGATGAGCTGAGGGAGTGACCAGACAGATGCAGTACGTAAAAGATTCCAGGCTACAGAGCAGAAGCGGGGTCTGGTTAGCAACGATGGAGGCATTTGTGTTTTGCCGGCTATTCTAGACCATGAGCAGACAATGTAAGGTAGCCTGTCACGATGCCTCGCCGGTTTGATAAGCAAGGAATTAATTTGGTAGTGATGCAGAGAATTAAGCTTTTGTTAAGCTTTTACCTTAAAGAAACAAGATTAACTAAGGCGTGAGTAAAGGCATGATTCAGCATGTGAATTGAGCTGAGTGTGGAAAGGTTGCACTGACCAGGGCAGGTAGACAGACTGACGAGAGAGAGCAGTCGATCCCACCACACGACCTCACACGACCTCTTTCCGCATTAGGTGGATGTCGTCGAAAGAGGACCCACCAGATGTACTTTTGTACCTTCTCTCCAGTTTTTCATGCAGCGAATTTTTCCTGACTCTGCCCTATTTAGGCTTAGAGCCCAGTGCCGAGACGCGCAGCTGCGGCTCCCGACAGCGCCGAGGCGGGAAATGGAAATAGCAGAAAAGGAAAGGCTTGGCATCGCTCGGCAAGTATCAAAGGGAAAAAACGACAAGAAAACAACGGGAAAAACAGACCAAGAAGCCGAATCTCCGCGGTATGTAGTGATGGGTATAAATTAAACTATCTCCCGGTGTCTGAAATAGGACACCGAAAGGAAAAACAAAGGTGGGAGGCAACAGAAAGGGTTTTAAATCAAAAGACACAGGTAAAGTAAGAAAACGGGCCGTAAAATGAGTGGTGCGGAACGTGAGCGTTCAAAGCGTCTCGAAACAACAGAAGCTCAATGGCTGAAGTATGTCAAGAGGATCCATTAATTATTCCATTTTAGAGGGTCAAGACCCTGACTCTCAACTCTTGAATGCCATGATGCGAGTTTTTCAGCAGAGATCGGCCTCGTCCCTGCCAACGGCGTCGGCCGAAACAAGTCAGGCGGGTCTCATAGATGCCGTTTTACCCGGGTCGCTCCTGGTGTTTTGCGAATTGAGTCAAGGTCTCTGCCTGTCTCTGCGCGCTTTTGCTCGCGTGCGTGACTGCCCTCTCAAGACAATGAGCGAACCCCAGGTTTTTCCTCCTCCGAATTGGATCCTCTTGTTCCAGCCTCCAGCCTGTTACGCTTCGGTGCTGAAAACGTGCTTCTCTCCAAGCCTCGATTTGTGTGAGCCTCATCCATAGTCTAGTCCACTTAACAACGTCATTGCCTTCAGCACCGTCATACATTCACTTTAGATCTTGTTATGCCTCGATTGTGATTGACAATGTCCAATCTCCTGCTGTCTTGCCGCATTGTGCGCTTTCAAACGCCAATAGCACGCATCTAAGTCTGTGGCTCAGGCAGGATCTGGCCTCGATCTCTCGGCTTCTGATGGATAAGGATAGCAGAGGACATGGGGGTCCCATCCCATCATAACCCAAGCGGCGGATCTCATCATGCATTGCCCACCCAATGCCATGTCACACCCACCCCTGGTGTTTCTTACATAGTTCTAGAGCTAACCAGCAGCCCGCTTTTTTCTCTCTGTTTCGACAGCTCCATCTCCCTCTAACGCATACGTCGGTACGTTACCACAAAGCTCAAGCTCTGGTCCCTGAGGCAAAGACGAGGCGGCGACAGTTGCTTTCGGTCAAGGAACGGGACACGGGAGCTATCCTAACATGCTGCACACCCTCCGAATTTGACCCCAGAGATCGACTTTCGTCCACACGTTCTCCCACGAGGTTAATTTACGTCTTCTTACTGGCTGGTGCTTCTTCAAGATGCCCGTCACACTCGTCTTGAATATCCAAGCTCTAGTTGCTGTCTATCTCGGTCGTGATGTAGTTCAAATACTGCCCTTCCTCGCGCCTGGAAAGCCGTTGAGTTTCTGTTTCTCTTCAGAGCCAAGATAAGGCAATTCCAAGTCTTGAATTCCTCAATTGTTCCCGACCCATCTAACTCGGGCCTTCGGCACTTCTTCTTTGCCTCCCGCATAAAACTTTTTCTTCTTGGTGGTTAGCATTTCCACTTTGCGCCTGGAATATACATCTCCCTCCATCTAGTTATTCCTGCCTTCTCACAACAACAAACCCCATACGCAATTAACGTATCCCCTTGAATTAAGCACTTTCTTTGATCACCATCAAACTTGGATCTCAACTCGGGGCTCCAACCGCCTTCTCTCACAATGGTTCATAGACACCATCATCACGAGTCTACAATTCCCGGCGAGATCCCTGTCCCGCACGGTCCTGCAGACAGCGATTCTGAGCACATCTCAGATGAGCCTATCGCCTATGCTACTGCTGATGAGCGTCGCATCTTCAGCCATGTAACCCGCCCAGACGACTCCTATACTGAGGATGGTGTCTATTGGGCTGATCTGCCACTGGCTCAGCGTTATCGTTTCGTGTCAAAGGTTGACAACGATGCTGCCAAGGAGGAGGCGAAGACTGCTTGGTCTATGTTCAAGGAGGATCCTCTGTCACCTTTCTCGTGGTATTTCCGCCATGCTGTCATTCCTGGCGCCGGCCTTGGTCTGGAGGGTTATGTACTTTTCTCCATTGGTAACCTTGAACCTCTCTTCAAGGCCGTTTGGCCTGATTGTTGGGGCAAGGAACCCACTACCTGCTCTCACAATTGGATTGCCTCAGTGACATACCTTGAAATTATCGGTATTATGGTTGGCCAGGCTGTTGTTGGTGTAAGTCTTTCTGCCCCTTCTCAACCTTGATTATTGTATATGATGGATTGTACTGACTGCTCGTAGGTTATGGGAGATTGGGTCGGTCGACGATGGGGTCTCATTCAGGATGCTGCTATCATGTTTGTTGGTCTGCTCATGCTCACTGCCTCCTGGGGTCTTACCCTTCAAGGCTGGGTTATCTGCTACGCCTGGTCTCTCTTCTTTTACGGTTTCGGTGTTGGTGGCGAGTACCCCATCACAGCAACTTCTTCTCTCGAAGGTGTTTCTTCTGGTGGAAGAATCTCAACTCGTGAAGATCGTCTGCATCGTGGTCGCCGTGTCACCACGGCTTTCCTCATGCAGGGCTGGGGCCAGTTCGTCAACCAGGTCATTCTCATTGTTCTGCTCGCCATCTTCAACAACGGCAAGAGTTCGCCTCCCTACAGCAAGTCGGCTGCCCAGTATACTTTCCGACTGTCTTTCGCATTCCCTGCCATCGGTACGCTCTGGCTCCTCTACTATCGTACCTACCGCATGCGGAGCGCTGGTAAGCAGCTCGCTGAGGCAAAGAAGCGCTCCAACGTCACTGGCTATGATGTGAACGCTCTTCGCCACTGCTTTACCAACTTTGGTGGACGTCTCTTTGCTACTGCTGGTACCTGGTTCTGTAACGATGTCTTCTTCTACGGCAACAAGCTTTTCCAGGGTCAGTTCATCAAGGTCATCTCTCCTGACAGCAAGTCTATCTTCACCACGTGGACCTGGAACCTTGTCAACATCACCGTCTCCCTAGCTGGCTACTATCTCGCATCTCTTCTCATCGACAACAAGATGTACGGCCGGAAGATGATGCAGCAAGTGGGCTTCTTCATGTGCTTCCTGATGTTCATTATTCCCGCCTTCAAGTTCGACTACTACACCAGCCCTGCAGGAATTCATTCTTTCCAGGCCATGTACTTCATCTCGTCCTTCTTCAACCAATTCGGTCCTAACTCGGTCACCTTCCTCGTTGCTGGTGAGGTATTCCCCACGCCCATCCGTGCTACTGCCCACGGCTTCTCCGCCTGTATTGGCAAATCCGGCGCTCTTCTCGCTTCTGTTCTCTACAACTACATTGATGACCAGACTAAATTCTACGTCGTTCCCTGGTTTGGTCTCGCTGGCATGCTCCTGACATGGATCTTCCTCCCCGATACTACCGGTCTTGATCTCAAGGAGCAGGAGCGCCGCTGGTACTATATCCGGGACGGCAAGGAGAGCGAGTACCATGGTGTTGCTGTCAACCCTACTCATTTGTCTCTCTGGGAGCGCTTCCGAGGTCTCGGTAAGAGCTACGACCCTGAGGCTGACTGGCGGGCCAAGGTCCAGGATATGCGTACCGAATGGGAGCTTGTCCAGGCCAGCCGCGGTCCCAAGGAGACTGAGGGTGCTATGCCCGAGGACGGCGAGTTCTCCCCTGAGATTCACGAATTCTTCAAGCGGTCTAGCCCCAAGCACATTGGTCGTCGTGACGAGTCTCTCATGGTTGACCCTATTAATGAGAAGACGGCTGTGCCGTCTGATGATTCTAACTCGAAGTAATCATGTCCACTCATGATGGTATTCGTGACGAATCACTGCACTACGCACATTTTATCCTGTAGCAGCGAGCGGTTTACAGCATGGGCTTGGCGTTTGGGGCTTTAATGTATCATTATTTAGTCATTCTTATTTGTGGAATCTAAAAGTTCGGCTATATCACTTTGATATGCGGGGTGTGTGTGGAATCACATATCAAACTCCGGCTTTTCACAATATATATCTCGTACTTGTCTGACCAATGAGCAAAGGTTTGCTGACATGCAAGTGATGTAACGATGTTCGGCCAGTTGCAACTAAAAGTTGTATACTAGACTATAATATATACATATGCGCTTGATCAAATGATATGGTGACAATAAAACAAAAAATGCGACCAATGCCGCCGTAACTCTTGGTGGTATCTAGAATCGAAACTTATTCCTGTGGTGCACCAGGCACATACTCTTAATGATGCTAAAAATAACAAAAGGGAAGAAGGGAGAGCGGAAAAAGAAGAAGTCGTAGATGAAGAATAAAGAATCGCTTCACTGCCCCTATCGTTCAATATAATCCCAGCCGTCTCGTTCGTTCAGTTTTCATCGGACATCGTCGTAGTCCTGTTAAATTATATAGCCCATTTTGCGGTCAACGGCTATTGCTGAGATCCTCGCAGCCGAGTTTGCTGACTTGATGTATTCGTAGTTGGCACAATTACGCCAAGCACACAGTCATCTAGATGCTCATAGAAGTCTTGCGCAGTACCAAACCCGTTCTTGCATATGGAGCACCTTGCTTTCGTGCCTACAGGATCATCGCCCCCTGGTAGTCGGTGGCCACTGCTATGGCCTGTCTGGTCAACTTGATGGGCAGCAGTTAAGTGTCGCTTGAAGACATCAGCACGAGTGAAGACTTTTTCGAAGGGGCTGCCAACACCAGGACAGAATGGGCACACCATCGTTCCACGATAATGAGTAAGGGCGTGACGGTTTTTGTCGTACTTGCGTGCGAATCCTTTCGTGTGGTATTCGCATGTTACAATAGGGCATTTTTCAGGCCGCTCTTCTTGGTGTGTGAGCATGTGAGAGGCCAGGTCACGAAACTCACGACCACAATCTGGATGAGGGCATCTGGTGCGATTTTCAGCAGGCCTTCGAGATGGGCTGGCTCGTTCAATCGGTATTGATGGCTCGATAGAACTCGACGAAAGCAATGGACCTAAGGCAGAAACTGCTGGTAATGCATCAGGAATCCCAGGCGTTTGTTGTGGTATCGGATCTCTATAGTCAGCGGGTGCTGGATACTCATCGATGTCGTCTTCACCGCTGGAGATATGTTCTTCGGGAACATCAACTGATTGGCGCACTTCTCGCATCCAGTCCTTCAAAATACTCATGGATGGCCAGTCACCACTGGCTTTACCCACTCGATGAGGTCGGAAGTGTGCGCGGCGGAGGTGTGCAGCAGCGTTATAATATGCGCCATATCGCTTTTGTGCCAAGCATGCTTTGCATCTTGATAATGGGATCACTGGCTGAGGGGCAGAAGGCATTTGATTCTTGGGTTCTTTGCAAACCCATCGCTTGACCGTGGCCGAATGCTTGGCATCTATATGGCGGCGTAACTCGTGGTCGCCACGGAAGCCATCCGGATGCTCGTTACACTTGTCGCAGTACACGCGGCGCAAAGAGGTCCGGCGGGAAGATGATTTTAACCTTGACGGAGATATCGGTTCACCCGAAAGTCGCCGGGATTCCAGGTGAGGTGACATGTCGTCACCTATCGTGTGTCTGCGGGTGCGTCCTCCAACATCGCCTGGCAACGAGAACTGACCAGGTAAAGGAAAGTCCGACCGTGAGCTAGAGGGTATGTATTGTGATGACGGACCTGCTGATCCAAGGGACGGCGTAGACTTCAGGTAAAGTTGCCTTGGCGTACTGTCTAGTTGTGCTGCGGGGAAACCCCTCGAGCCCCTTAAATCTAACGATTGCCTTCTGGGTAACACAAAGCCGTTGAAACCCGAGTTTGGAACTTCCCCTATACCGAGATTCATGAGAAAATCAAAGCTCGAGAATAGATGCCGGGGAGGCCACTGATCTCGACGGATAATTCTTGCGATGTTGCGGGCAATGGGGTCTTCGAGCTCGGACGCATTAGATAACGGATCGTTTGAAGTGGCGAATAGAGAGACCAAAGCTTGGTAAACACTTCGAATGACTTGGTCAGGTCGTTCCGTGGGTGTTGTGCTGGCCTGCAATGGATCGTTTCCCTGAAACGACAAGGCAATATCAACCAATATGGTGTTAACAGCACTGAAGATGCAGATCGAAATGAAAACCCCTAACCATTGCCTCAGACCCATAGTAGGCAAAACAGAAGCTGCAAAATCCAAGGAGATCAAGTACCGTCGCGTGCATTCCCTCAAGGAAACGTTGCGCTCGGTAGAAGGGCGACGATCGATAGGCGTGCGCGGAAGATAGATGCCCTCGCTCCGTAGCAATTGACTCGGCTGAGAAGTATCGTAAAATATGATCTCGCGCAAGAGTTGCTTTACGCGAAAAAGAGAGGGATGTGTCGTCTGTTCCTCTTCTCGGGACATCGAGAGTTGACCGCTGGCACTCAACAGCTCGAGAAGATCAAAGGCAGCGCCCCGGAAATTAGGGCTAGAAGCGATGAGCTGCAGAACAGGTGGCGGTGCCCCTTGATCGTGGTAACCGGGACCTAGAGGTTGGTTAATACGCTCGTCAAGGCCAGGCTCTCCATCCTGCCACCAAAACGTATCCTGAAAATCAAGCCTCCAGGCAGGCCTTTTGACGGCCGACAAATTGGGGTTCTGAGCGAGTATTTGGTCATTGATGCTTCCTCGCCGAGGATAAGAGGGTGTCAGCGGTGTTTGAGGTTGTGACCAGGCGAAAGATCCTATTAACGGTCAGCTACAGTGGGAACCTGGACGAAGAATGACCGATACCTTGAAGCAAAACATCAACGAGAGAGGTCACTGATCCACGATAACATCCTAAAATGCTCCAATGCGCCTCTGTCTCGGATGAAGGCATCCCCGAGCAGCGGGAACAGGGGTTATTTGCATCGCACTAGAATGGTAAGCACTTAAGATCATTCAGCAGATAATGGTGAAGCCTACTGGTCTGTTCGAAGCTCGACATCGGAGACACGGGTCATTGTTGTGGAGAAGCTTTAGCTCTCCTATTGACTTTAGACGATCATGTCCGACGCGAGCTCTTTTGAGAGGAGGCAACTGTGGGTCAGATGTGGTTTCCTCGCCGGTTCTTGACAGCGCAGTTTTGGGGTCTGAGAAGGAGAAGCTTGAACTGTGATCCCTTCTCGTCGTGGCTGTGGAGGCGGTTGAGGGTGTCGGGAATGGTAGAGGAGGGAGATTAGTCGTTACGAGTGTGGTTGGAGGTTGAATGGGCGGCAATTGGTCCCGAGGCAGAGCACCGCTGCCCGTCTCTGGTAATTCGGAATTCTTCAAAGAGCTCTGGGCTGGCGCAAATACTCCCGAATCACTTGCATTCTTCGTCAAATGCAGCCGAAGGTGATTATCCCGTTCCAGATGGGTCAAGAATCCATAGACATAGTGGATGCATTGTTCATGCGAACACTTAAAGGGTGCCCTCGAGAAGTTGGTAATAGAAGTAGAAGGGTCCGCTGATGGGAAAGAGCGTATCGCTCGATCATGATGCGCAAGATGATGATCGAGCCATGATGTATATCCTTGTGGTGGTGGAAATGGAGATGAGCTTTTTAGAGTGCGGGCAACGTCCATGTCTATACTGTTAGTTCTACCTATATCAGATACTCTACCGGAGGTTGCTAGATAGACTATGCGCAGCGAGGTTGTCCACTTACTTTGTTGCTTACATGCAGCTTCGAGGCATTCGCAACGGTACTGGAGAGCCCGCGCCTCTTCAGCTTCAGAAAGAGAGGGGATGCGTGATGAAATGCCTACAAAAAAGTGAAAATTAGATATGACTCGAGATATTCGTCACAGACTGAGAAGACACAAATCATGGCGACAGCGCTCCAAGACAATGAAAAGCGGAACGGAGCGTACCGTAACGTTCGACAAGATTTTCGAGGGCACGAAGTTTGTGCCGCAGCATATCGACCTCGACAATGGCATTGAGAGCAACGTGTCGACCCTGCTGATTTGGTGACGGTGCAACTGCCTCCGACCCAGTGCCTGTATCAACCTGAGGTCGCTGACGTTGGCCGGCAAGATCAAGATGGGACTCCGGGTCGGATAGGCCCCGTGGAGTGTAGTCATCCCGGCTCATCTCTGGACCAGATCATCTCATCTCGTCCAGAGTCGACTTTTCAATGAGTTCCTGTTGAATCGGCTTGAGCTGCTGAGCATGACTGGTCGCTTTTCTGGGAAGTTCGCTGGCTGGTTACTGTTCGCATCTGCCAGTAGCCATTTGTCGGTGGTACACAACAGAAGGCGGGCAGCCGTCGCCCGAAGCAGGAGACGGAGAGGGCTAGAGGGAATAATTAACAAGACGAGAGCATGAGCCCCCCCGGACGGGCAATATCAAAAATCTATCCGGAGGCTCTCGTGGAGATGTTAGAAATCAAGACGAATGAACGAGCCAAGATTTATTAGAGGGCACGAGCGCACGACATTGCATTGTGCTGGGCCCTCACCCCCCAAGGCCCCGGCCATGTGTGAGGCACAGCGAGGGAGTGAGGGCAAAGAGTGAGCAAGGTGGGGCATAGCTCCCCCGTCACGGCAGATTTGGAGATAGTGCCGACAACGATGCGGTGCGGTCTCTGGGCCTGGATCCGTCTGGAGCCCGCAGTTAGCCAGGTATAAAGCGCGGATTGCAAGGGCACCGCAGGGTACAACGCTTTGTATTCGTTGTCGAACTCAGTTGATTACAGGAGAGGTGCTCTTCTGATACTGGGCGGTAGAGTGAGAAAGGGCCGTGCTTCCAGGCCCATGTTGGCACGGTATGTGGCTGGTTGTTTAACGCTGGACAGATCAGTGCGAATGTTGGCATGTCAGTGTCGTTGGAGGTATCCCAGGGCCATGATCCCAATGACAGACAGCGGGGAACCACCCACCAACCGGGTCCTAGCAATAGCCACGAGTCCAGGCATGAGAGCGATTCCAGCACCACAACCCTGCGCGAGCTGTTCGTCCCGTTCGCCCTGCTGGCCCAGCTCGCCCCCTCGTCCGCATGCTCCATCACAGTGACCTTGCCATGGTAGCCTTGTCGGGGTAGTAGCCCCTTCTCGGTCTTAACCCTGTCATGGAAGGTGGCCAAGCCTCCCAGGTACAACGGTTATCGACCGGGAAGAGCGTCTGTTGACGAGAGTGTCAAGAGCTGAGCATAGTCTGTCTATCTGCCTTTGGTGCCGCCATCTTGCCTGTTACATTTCTCGAGAGCCATTGTTTATTACGGATAGAGTAGAGAGGCTGCAGGAACTGAGACAACGTGGGTGTTGCTCAAGCCGTTGCTGTGGCTTTGCGCCCACGCTTGTCATCGCGGGCGGTGCATGTTGGCCGATCCTTAGCGTTGGTATTGTCTTTGTTTGATATTGTTTCTTTTCACATTCGAATCGCGCGCCATGTCTCGCTGCAACGTGGACAGCTTCAGTACGCGCTCGGCCCTCCATCTCGTTTCATTCTCTGGCTGAGAATATTCAGTGGGGCTGGTGTTTTCCTGGCCGTAAGAACAGGAAGACTTTTCGGTGAGGCAGCTGAACCAATTCACCAGACAAAAGGTAGCTCTCACTACTCTGCTCTCGGCTGGGCTTGGCTGGGTTTGAGATTGTCCAAGGGAGCGAGATTGCTAGGATGATGTGGCGAATGCGCCTAAAAAGTTCCGGCCGAAACCCTCGGGGTTGTCTAGTCTAATCTGGTTCAGAGTCAGAAATGAGATGAGCGAGGAACCAAAGTAATAAAGCGTGAAAGACAATTGACGAGCAAAAGGCCAGCAGCACCTGAGGATGTCACCCATGTTCGCCCCTGTTGTCGACGCCACTGCAAATGGAGGTGTTGTGCTGTAGACACCTGTATGTATGAGGCTATGCTGCTGTACTGTAACTTGGTAGCGTGTCCGTCTTTATCTGTCTCCAAAGACGTGGTCTTCCCTGCATATGAGTGATCGGCTACGACCTTGCGAGATCAGCGGAAATTTGAGTGGCCTTGGGAGGGATTGATCCAGCGGTTTTCTCTGTCTTTGCCGAGATGACATTTTGAAGCTGAGAGCCTAGTGACCATGGCTGAGGCGTCATGCCATAACCATAGGTATCCTGGGTAGTAAAGTTTAGTATAGCCGGGACAATTTACCCAATCCCATGGCAATGAAGGAAGCTAGGAGGTAAGTGAGATGGAGATAGTGTAGTCACCTGGGAAAAGCTGGGTAACTCAGGTACCCTGGCCCTGGCCCAAGCTCTTTTGGAGACTGTCAGAAGTCAGAACGGGAGGGGCCTGGCCATCCATTCCTCTTGTGTACCTAGGTAGGTAGGTAGGTATTTCTCTTCAGGCACCTTTTCTCACTATACGGTCTCGTCGCCAGTCGAAGAATATTACCAAGGTTAATAATAAAAGTCGGTAAGCTTGTGAACATGAGCTAAGAGCGTGCAGTGTCTCTGACAACCCGACAACGGAAGACGGGACGGGATTGTGGGTGGGGAGGAAAATTGTGGATGTCAAAGTCGATGTTGATGTGGATGCTAGATGGCGACAAAATGGACCATGCTCCTTCCCGACTGGAACTCAAAGTTTTGAAACCAGAAAAGGAGCCAATGAAAGAAGCAGTTTCTGGAACCCTGGGCTGCCCACATCAACGGTTCTTAGGCAGGTGCAAGGATGTTAGTGTTTAGCGGCCACGCATGCATCTCAAGTGCAAGTTCAATCGAACGTGAGTGGAAAGCATGGGCCGAACAGGAGAGGGAAAAAAAAGAAAACCAGGGAATAATAGAAGTTTACTATGTAGGTACAGAGTAGGTTACTTGATAGTTACCTTTGATGCAAGGTCTTAGAGGCTATTACAGACAGTGACCTGTTCAGAGCAGGCCTACTCAATAACTTCTGGTTTTCATCTACCTAACTCCACTCTGTTCTAAGAAGATTTCGAAGAAAAATAATCACCCAGCACGGCAAGTTAGTGTGCCTGAGGCTGTAGCGACTCTTCATAAAGGTAAGGTACTTAAGTGCCTTAGTAGGTACCTACCTTACTGAGAGAAAGACACCTCAGAGGCGGGCAAAGGCAAAGAAGCCACAGGGCAACGCCCAAGCGCCCCCGCTTCTTCAACCGTCCGTTGCAAAGCCACGAGTTTTGGAAACAACCCTGGTCGACCCTTCATCTCGTTGGTGTTCGAGGCTAAAAAGACTGCCCATGTCTGAATTTGTGCGACATATACCTTAGCATGAGGCATGGCCATCGAGGTAATTAATTCCTAAATTGCCAGCTGGACTTTTGGAGAAAGACCTGCAGCACCTTATCTTATTACCGCACCTTGCCTTGTTTTGTCCCCCAGCTGGACCTAGCCACACATGGATTATGATCAAGCTCCTGCTCTTGAAGCCAGCCCATTCCTGGTGCTCGACGGAGCAAATGTATGCATCTAATTTCGTTCTTCATCTCGATGACCTCAATTACAAGGAAAACCTGCAATCAGACATGTCGTATGCTAAGTACCTAAGGTAACCAGAAAACGTCCCCCCATCAAGCAAGTTTGCAAAAGTCACTAAACGATACCCAGGTAGGTAATACACCATGTTCCCAGCTCAGCGGCATGCATTCAAATGCCCCAGCCTGCCCCGGGCTTGATGTGACACTACGTCGTCGTACCTTACCTTGCTCCAAGCATCTCACGGTTCTCACCTTTATCTCTCATCTCCAAAGCCAGCCACGTCTGCTGGTCTGCTTCTCCCATAAGCCACACCATCCAGGTATCCCTTGCTGCTGATACCTGAATCGACCAAGACATGCACTGTAGACAGCCGCCTACCCTCTCTAGCCATCTTGGGACATCTCCCCGGTTGGCTAAGCGGGTGTGATGAACGCAAGATGCTGCTTCTGGTGATGCAGCTGTCCCTCGGGTTCTGGCCTATGAGAGTGTAGCTGTATATGGTTGGACAATGCCAGCCTTTTCCTGTCGGGCTAAGTGATAACATTCAGGTAAACTGACCGGTCCGAAATGTCTCGGTAATGAGAAAGGGCAAGATGAAATCATATTTTGATGCCGAGTATCAATATGGCACCATATTGGGGGACCTTGGTTCTTCCCTCTCGTAGACAACTGGTGATGTCCTCTGTGAGGTATGGTATGTGAAAATGCCCATATTTATATTAAAAGGACCCATCTACTGCAGGTTCAATCATACTAAGCATGCGGACAAGACAGCTCATTTGTGACTTGTCTACTCCTCTGGTTGCAGTAGTTATCGCTCATGTTGAATGGCTTTATCCCTTGATGCCATCCTATCCCGCTGTTGAGCTTTCTTTATATGGTCATAACCTTGTAAGAACACGCGACAATGACATAAAACAATAAAAGAAAAAGAAGAAAATTAAAACAACAGAATGGGATCGTGCCCAGCCGTGGGAGAGGACGAGGGGTGGCTGTTCGTCATGTAGATAGCGTCCAGGGAACATGGGGAGAGGGGAAATGGGAAAAGCCAAGAACGGAAACGACAAAGCCGTCGGTTCTCGAAAGAAGCCAAACCTGGATCCAGAAAAACAAGGGCAAAAACGGCTTCCTTGTAACCGTTGCTCGTTGTGTCCGTTCCCATTTCCGACGCTTTTTTAATCGTTTCCCCGCCCTCAGTAGCCACTGAGGAAATCTCCCTCTCGCTTACTGATTGACAATTAATAAAATGTCACTTGCTTCAGTCCCTGCTTCGATTGCCGCTATGCCATGCTCGGATGAATGTCTGTGGATTTACCTACTCAGTACGCCACCAAGTCTTCTCCCTCAATGGCATTTCTTGGCCTGAAGCTTTTCGGCTGCCATCCTCCTCGCCCTTGTATGCCCAGTATTCGCTCAATCGCAGTTCGGCATATTGAGCATAGTCAAAGTCAATCTTGGAAATGACAGCTTGGATTTGAGACCAGATGCCCCAGTAGAATCCCGGCACTCCTCGGTACGCATCGACCTCGGTCATGAGTTTGCGAACCTCCTCCTCTTCATCGACCTTCTCGCCTGTCAAAGAAAAGTAAGACTTGATGTACTCCTTTACAAATGCAAGTCGTTGATCTTGTCTGGGTACAGCCGAGTAGTCACAGTCATACCCTGCCCACTCTGCAAAGTGGTTCGCCACGTCAAAAGCCGCAGGCGATGGTGTAGCATACTCATAATCGATAAAGTCGACGGTAGGGGCCGCCTCATCTTCTTCGTGGATGATAACGTTGGCACACAGCAGGTCGCAGTGCGCAAAGACAAGCTGTGCAGATAGGTTAATATTTTCCATCAGGTAATTGTGCTGCTTATGAACGTACCCCGTTCTTGCCCAGACCAGGCCGTTGGCTCAGTTTTTGGACCATCTCTTTCAACTCTGCCTGGAGCAGCGCTTGCCTCTGCCGCTGAGCATCCGTATCAGTGGGCAAGGCAAAGATCCATTTCTGCATGGTTGTCCACATATTAGGCGGAGCCTTTCCAGGGGCAGTACTATCAATCTGTTCTTGGCGAGACTTGTTGTTTTCGTTCATAATACCGTTGGTATGCCCGTTGGTCTGGCCATCACCGTTGGTGCCGGTGTTACCATTGGCAAGTCCATTGAGTTTGGCCTCACCATTTACATGCCTATCGTCTCGGCTGTGATTGGGGTCCGGCAAGCAAGGTACAGTTGCATGCCAGTGTGCAAGGCGACGAGCAATGGCAGATAGTATTAGAGGTTCACGAAGATCCTGGGCACGTGCAGGTTTACCCAAGATATAACGGTACATCATGCCATTCTTGAAACGGGCAAGCAACTGGGTAGCGAGACCATATCTCATGAGCAACTCATGGTTCTCGGCCTCACGTTCACGGTCAATAAGAACGGCAGTTCCATGACCGTAGGCTCGGAGTAGAATAGCATCCCGATCAACATCAAGCTTGGACATGCCAGGACGGTGGTTGATGGCTTTTAGCAGAGTATTGGTGATGCCATCAGTGAAGCGCACAAATTCAACGTTTGAGTCTTGGCTGGCCCAATCTGGCATGAGTGTCAGGATGAGCTTTCGAGCCGAGTCTTGTGATTCATTGTTGTCGTAGGCCAAGTCCAAGAAGGGCACATGGCCAAAATCGAGGTTGGTTGGTGACGTTGTCATGGTCACGCGAGTGCAGCAAGATGGGTGAAAAATAAGGAGGTGAGAGAACGGTGAGAGAGGGGAGATGGCAGGGTCCAAACAATCAGCGGGCCAGAAAAGTAAGGAGAGGTAGGTCTAGATGTGGGCAGAAGAGTTGCTTGAGTTGTTTGTGAACAAGCGAGTGCGAATATCAAGGCTGAAAAGATCAGGTTGAGGGTTGAAGAAAAAATTCCCAAGTAGCCAGATAGATTTGTTCTAGGGGTTCAGGGGCGTAAATCCGGGGACGGTCCAGGGTAAAGCGGCGCCGGCGACGGTGGTAGTAGGCAGGTCGTACCGTAAGACGGTGGAGAAAGGGGTACCGGAGGCTCAAGGAGGGGGACGGCCGGGAAGCGGAGGGGTCGGCGAGGACGGAGTATGAGGGAGTGGTGATGACGGAAGGAAAAGCAGCAGAATACGGTGGTGATGCAAGCAGAGGGCGAGATGATAATAAAATAGGAGGGAAAGCACACGACCTGTTACCTTTCCAGTCGAACGGAAGCCGGCAAAGGTTAGGTACCTCGTGTAGAAATAGTAATAAAGCTAAGGCAGACGGGACGGAGCGGTGTTGGTGCTGGCTGCTGGTTTTGTGGGCGTGGGCCAGTCAGAGAGACGGCCTAGACCTTATGAAAAGAAGGGAGTGCCGTTTTCCGCTGCAGCCTGGGACTTTTTAGATACGAGGGAAGGATTGTCGCGTGTCACTCGTAAGGTGAGTGTGGATGTGGATGTGGATGTGAATGTGAAGCCTAGATGCATGAATTCAATGGTAGGAATATGGGTACCTATTCAGTGTCAATTCATAAATGGTATGAATAGTGCGTGATAATGTGGGAACTAATAAGTATTGAATGCTTTGGCTGAAGCAACCTGCAAGGAAATGCGAGAGTGTCTAAAAGACGAGCCTCGACCGCTACTCAAATGTTTTTTGTTTTTATTTTGGTGGCAGTGTACGCTGGAAGGAAAAATATTCGTCTGCTTGGATCCAGAATCACATGTTCAGGTGATTGTGTTGTCCCCCGTGCCCTGTGGTACTGAACTCGAATCGACTATCCACTAAAGTAGTGCTTCTGCTTGAAAGAAAAGAACCAACAATAATAAGGTAGCCGCCGGTCAGTAGATACTGGGAACAAGTGAAAGGGAAATGAGCAGTAAATTGTGTTGGGAATTTCGTTGGGTCTTTTTTAGCCGGGAACCAGAATGATTTCTCGCCACTGATATGCGAATAACACTGCCCCTTTCATTGGAATACGACGCAATCCAAGGCAATCCAACTGTCGTTTCGTGAGTATGAAGACATTGATACTGCCTGGAGGAGGCAAGAAAACCTAGGACCTTTTTCCTAGGCGACAAAAAGACTTAGGTAAGTTTAGTATATACTAACTAGGTCCTTAGACTAATTATTTTTTGCACCCTTATCAAATGTCAGCAGTTTTCTTGCTCCCTGAGGACTGCTTACTGCGTTCGAGAGGAACCGGACTACATGGGGCAGGATAGAGACCATCGAGTTTTCTCTTGGTCCCTTTTTATTGTCAATTGCCTATTCTGCACACCGACTCGTTAGATTTGACAGGCTATTTTGCGCTAACCATCATGGATCCTTATGTTGCTCCCTTACGGCGCCAGCCAAAAGGGCCTCATTGGCCTCCACCTACACAAGGTAACGCTCGTGACAAAGAAACAGCTCGATCATTAACGAAGGATGGATGTTATTCATTCGCTTCGCTTCCCCTCCGCCTTTTCGGAGACGATACGTTGACGCCACATATGAATTGTCATGAGCCTCGTTTGAAACCCCCACCTCGTACCTCACTCATTCTTGACGCCCGTGCGTGACCCTACCTACCTCTCCCCTCTATTTGCAAAAATGTGGCGCTTATGAGGCTCATCTCTCCACAAGCACATGAGGCGTGGTTTATTGAACAAACTCCATCGCGACAAACCTCATCTAAAATACCTACCTGCTAATTCAAGAACTTACATCAGGTCAACGACGTCGCCACTTCATGTGACAACCATTAGCTACTTTGTCCTCAGTCTTATCATGTAAAACCCGTCACTATGGCTGTGCCGAGTGTTACTAGCGACAATTTCCTCGCCGTTGCTCTTGTAGTCAATCGCTCTCGCGATGGCCCAGCATTTGTATTCCACTATCCTGCAAACGTTGAACCTCATTCCAAGTCAAGTTCTGCCACAGGTGCTGAGCTCGAGGATATTCTTCTCGAACGGCTATCGCAGCAGAGCTTCTCAGATGTTGCTGACGACGTACCTCTCCCTAAGCAGGGGCGGAATGCAGACGAGCACTCTTTTACTGAATCTGGATCTCAGATTGTCCCATGGGAACGTGTTGCAGGCTTTCCTGCTCGTGATCTTGCGGGCATTCTAACTCCCGCTCGGCCCTATCACAAGAAACTCTTTCAACTATCATTAGATCCACTATATTGTGTATCTTATCCTATCCATGTTCCCGAAAATGGCAGATGGAAGAAACCGAAGAAGACATCCCGCGCTGAGAAGCGCTCTGCGTACAACGAAGAACAACCAGCGCCTCATGAGGTCGATCCTCCCCCTATAGGAAAGGCGCCTGAGCAACCTGTGGAGGAAAAGGATGGCAAAAAGGAAGACGGTAAGGACAAGGACGATGAGAAACGCAGTTCCATGACCATGTTTAATCTTGTCTTCATCCTTAATCCTAGCAGTAACGAAGTTAAGGATGTTGTCGAGTCCATATACGATCACATTATAAAGAAGGTTAGCAAGGCTTTCAAATACAGCCAGCAACATAGCGAGTTTGTGTGGAAAGAGTCGAAGCGAATACTTGTCGCCAAAGATAAGGCGCGAGAGGAGCGTAGGTTCTACCCAAACGTTATCAAGATACTCACATTAAACATTGATTAGGAAAACGAATGAGTGTTCTTTGGAAAGAAATCCTCCAGAGCTCATCACTGGCCGCTGCCATGCACGATATATATGAGGCGGTTTCTCAAAACAAGATCGCCGCTCTGCATCTCGATACTGCAGCTGGCTCTCTAACCCCTTCGGTTCAGATTCCTATTCCTTTCTACATCGATGACCTCCCTCAGGGCGAAGAGGGAACACAGCGTGGCCTTTGGCTTACGACCGCAAATACTTTCATCAGTCAAGATGCCCTTGAGGAGCCCGGCTTTCTTGATCGCAACTTTGCTCTATTGCTCACTGATGATGAAAAGAAAATCATCGCCGAGCTCCAAGCTGACCCAGACCCAACTACAGCCTCAATGGTTGAGTTTGTACGGCTGTCAAAGCCAACACAATCGTATGTGCCTCACCACCTCTGACGTCGGCCTTGGACTTAGCTGAACTTGCCTACAGATTCTACCAAGTTGGCCAAAGCAATATCTTGACTCTAGGTCAAGTGCGAAAATATGCTCAACATTTTATATTCTGGCGTCGTGCCATTGCTATCCCTCCCCTTCACGCCAAGGATCAATATATCTTATCCCCCAATAGTGACTTATCCCGTCTTCCTCTCGACACTCTAGAATGGCAGAGAGCATTCCCCCTAGCTCCACCGCTACCGAATTTTCTCGCTGAGCTCTCTCAAGCGCCCCGTCCATACAAGCAGTTTTCGCCTAGCAAAGCCCATCGTCCGACATATCTTCTTATGCTTTCCTGGCTCATGCGTCGCGGTTGGGTGACCCAACTCTGCACATTTGCCTATGTCGTCATCTGGCCTGAGATCATGTACGAGGTCGAGTACGAGATGGAAGCTGAGGAGCTCCGTGCCGCCGCAGATGCAGATGCGAATAAAAACAAAGAAAAGGAGGCCAAGGACGATGCCTCCACGTATACTTCGGCCCCACGCACCTCCGAGTCTTCCGAAGGTCACTCCGGCACTGACGGCTCCCACGTTCCCACCGTTGCCGAGCAGGCCGCAGAGAAAGCCCGCCTCGAGCGGATTGCTTCCAAGGCCCAGCGCGACGCTGCTGAAAAAGCGACAGCGCATGCCCGCAAACCTGTCCCAGTCGCAACGGCACACCCCTCTGTAAACGACCACCCGCATCTCCAAGGCCTGATACCTCACATCATCCTCGATGCCAAAAAGGCCACCGGTAAGGAATCTCGCTACCTGTCGGCCATCGCGCGTCGTTTCAACGACGAAAAGTTAGCAAACAGCTGGCAGGTTATGTGCAAGTATTTTGATGGCCGGTGTGCCTTGGAACGCATCGCTTTACAAGAGGATATGAAGCGGAAGTTGGTTTGGAATACACTGACAGCTATGAGCGAGTATTTGCTCTGCACCCGTCATTGGTGACCCAGCTGGCTATGTTTACCGTGGTAATACCTCCAGATCTCTGTGTTTAGACGTGGTCATGGATGGAAACATTTATAATGATAAGTATCTCGCTTGTGGTATCTAGGCAATAAAAAGCAACGAAACCGCTGCAAAACTGCAGCACGCACAATAAGTCAAAGCACTACTCCAGCCCAGTAAAAGGTCTACTTCCTTTCGCCTAGTTACCAAAACTTGGGCAAAAAACGCAGCGTGCGCATCAGATTGCAAGAAGAAAAAGTAGGAGTGGAGAGAAGTGAAGTTTCCTGACCCAGATACATTCGAGATTTGACCTTGCATCCATTCATTAACTGCCTCCTAGACTTAATGCATAAACTGACCCAAGGTATCGTAACATGAAAAGACAGAAAAAAGAAGAAAAACAACACCAATAACCAGCACACCCTAAAAGGAGAATAAAAAGAAGCAAACCCAGCAATTGTAAACCCCTTCAGCACAAGGAAGTATTTCGGACATGTCCCCTGTAACCCTATATGATGTAACTAGGTACAAGCCTCCGGACCTGAGGTTGCACCCCAAAACGAAACGCAAAAAGACAACACCGGGAGAATGCCAAACACCGAGAGATCACGCTCCTTGAGCTGCCCTGCATTGTAATGCTCGGCCAAGGAGGATGGTGACATGCAATGATGAGAATGATGCCAGTACCACATAC